GTGGCTGGACACCTTGGACGAATTGGCAATAGTGGGCGTAACATATTGAACGACTTTTTGTGCCATTGTTTGTTGCTCACAATTCTTGAGCCGGGTATCACGCCCACCGCAAAAACTGGGCCACAGCGCTTCCAAAATGGCAACAAGCACGCAACGTGGCGGGCGCATAGTTTTTCTTGTTGTTGTTTTATTTTTTATTTTTGAGCTTTGAGCACCTGTGCAAAGTTGTTTACATTTTTTATGACGTTTTTGTGCCACATTGCGTGCTGCAGTTTGACGAAATACTATTGATATGCAATTAAGCTTTCAATTTATGTTCAGCTTTAAGTTCTTAATAGTCTGCAGCCTGCTTTTTGGGTCAACTGCGCCTGAAAGTAGGCAACAAATTTGTAGGTTCTTAGATTAAAGTACCTTTCCTGCACTTATGAACGCTTTAAGCATGTCTGCTATGCAAATCAGCAAGAAATAAAAATCCTCTCAGCTTAGCAACAATCATACCTGTGCCCGGCAGCTGTTCCTTTGCTTGTGCCTCCAATCAATCAATTATTGGACACGTGCGCTTTGCATTTGCTGAGCATATGCCTGAACGGCCAGCTTCTGAGTCGAATAAATATTTCACTTAAGCTCAGGCCAAATGCAAATGGTGAGCCACAATAAAAAAAAGCAAACAAACCACAAAAGTGCCTTTACATAAATGTATGCCAACTCATACTTGCATCAATACATCTAGTGTATGTAGCGGTGTGTTTGTATGTGTGCTGCTCAGCCGCCAGCAAAGCCTGAATAATTTAGGCGCAATGCGTATACGCAGCATTGCCTGAAAGCAGAGATTTCAAGGTTACAATTTGACTTTTTACCAGGCTTTGCTTTTAGCTATTGTGTCAATTCCCTGTATAAGTATTGCGTTGACAACAGTTTCTTCAATTTAACTAATGTATTTTGCCTTGTACACCACTTCAAAAGGAAACCGTTCTAATCATTTTACTGGAACATTTTACCCGTGCCATATCAGTTCCATAAACGTCGACCTTTTTAATTACTTAAACGCTTAAAAGTTAAACGAGTTTTTATCCATTGAAAACTGTTTTATCACCTTTAGAATTTTCTTACTGGCAGTAATTAAGACATTTATCGGCATTGTTGACAAATAACAGTAATTAAATAGTTCAGTTGAGTGTCTAAATGCTTAACTAGGCAGCTTACAATATATTGACAAACTTGCAAGACTTCTAAAAGCACTTTGAAGTCTTTCTATCAAGCAACACTTGCTTCCTGGTAATCATTTATCAAATACGCCAAACATCCGTACACATATCTCAAGGCAACCACATTTTATGACATTTGCTGCAAGCATTCAATCAAATAATAACCACTCCCTCGAATCGACGCATGCCACACAGGCTGTTGCACAAGACGCTGGTGCAGAAACTAAGCTGTCAAATTGTTTGGCACAAAAAAAAAAACATATAATACGGAAAATTCTCAGCTATGAATGCCAATAAACAGTTTTTGACGCCACTATAAAAATCTAATAAAAATAAATAGAGACAAGTAAGATTGCGCTAGTCGGGATTACCCGAACAGGGGATGCCCTGAACAAACTTCTAGCCAAAAAACTGAAAGATACTTGATCTGTCTATACTTTTCTAGAAGCAACAGTCAAATTTTGTGATTCTAGCTCTTTAAATCTAAGAGATTTGCTCAAGAAATAGGTTTGCCAAATTCGATTATCGCAGGGATCGGGAGGACTTAGGTTCAAAATCTTAAGTGTCTAGTTCTTATATGTTCTGATATCGACGAAATCATAAATACGGACAAACGAACAGACGGTCGGACAGACTGACGAATATGTCTAGATCGACTCGACTTTTGCTGATCAATTATATATACACTTTATGGTGTCAGAGATGTTTTCTTCTGCCTATTACATGCTTTACATGCTTTCACCTATTTTCAATGGGTGCAGGGTATAAAAAGGAGGAAAGCAGGATTTGAAAATTTGATTGTGTTCAAGGTCAGCCAAAATATTGCAACTTTTCAAATATTTCTTTGCCCTTGCAGCTGGCTTACAATAGTTTACATAAGGGCTCTTCCTTGACATCAGAATACTCTATCTTTGTCGGACATTGACATTTGACTTTGCGTGTAAATATTTTTAAGAAGAAGATTTTTTCTGTAAATTTGCATTTTCACATATATCTGAACTAAGTCCTTTAACAGTATATATAGTTGTTTTTAAATTCGAACTGCAGCCCTTTGATAACAATTGTATTCTTAATAGTATATATTAAGGATGTTCAGTAAAACCTCTCTTCCAGCGAATGTTATCTGGAGCGACACGTGCCTCCAGCGATTTTGACGAATCATTCCGGCCAAATCACAATGTCAGCTGCTGCTATTTACTTATTCTGGATAAGCATGCAATTTAACTTTCCATAGCCACGGCGCTGTCTCTATTTACAACTCCCAGCTGGCTGAGGCTCTGCTGCGAAGTTTACTAAAAAAACATAACAAAATAATGAATCATTGATGAGACGACAGAAATGTGTGCGCTTCGCCAAGGATCAATCAAAACTTGGCCATGGAATTCAGTGGGGATATTTTCGCACATAGGACTGTCAAAATTGGCCGCCTGCTAATTAGGCGCCAATTTTTATTGGTAGTTGTGGAAGCCAATTTGCATTTTAAGACTTGCTGCTGCCCCTCTTGGCAATTATGTTAATTTTTTCATTTGGCCAGCTGGCGCACATTTTACGAATTACCAAACAACCAAAAATTCAGAGCCAAGGACTCGCTGGATGGTGGCCGGGGCCGATCCCCCTGGTTGTGGCCTTCGTGTGCTTAATTCAGCAAAATTTGCTAAAATTGCATTTTAAATTCGCCGCCAGCAGCTGGCAGATTGGTTTGGCTGCCGGCCATCAAGAAATTAACACACACTCTGCAATATTCAAATTAAAATTTTACGTTAACTGGAACATTGTAAAGTTTCCAGCGTTTTGTTATGAATTTCCGACCTAAACAAAGAATCAAACTTAATTTGTTGTCAGCTTGCCAGAAGACATGTTGTAGTTCTCGAAAGAGAGAGAAAACTATATCCAGAAATTCACATATATATATTCTTTAGAAAACTATTTAAGAAGTGCACTTCAGTTCGTCGGAAAGTTGGTAGGCAACTTGTTGGCCAGTATTTAATATTAATTAAAATTCTAATGAGCCACACACATGCAGCAGCAATTAAATTTAGGTTAGGCTTTCGAGAGTCATATTTTAAAAGCCAGATTAAATAGCTGTTGTCAGTTAGTTCAGCCTGCAGAATATGACCCAAATACTTGCAGTTCTTTGAACGTGACCATAACCAGGCAACAAACAACGCAGTGAGCAAAGTGAGCCGTAATGAAAGTGTGTGTGTGTGTGTGTGTGTGCTTGTAATTGCAATCTTTGCGGTTCCTGCCAGTGCTGGCAGCATCCCCTGCATGTGTTGAAGCATTTTGATTAGTTTTTCGCATATAACCGAGCAACGCCTTTTGACCCTGTATTGCTCCTTTCATTTTTATTTTGTGAAAGTTGATTGACACTCTGGTAAACACTTGAGAGCGAGAGAGAGAGGGAAAGATTGTGTGTGGGTGTGTGTGAAAAATTAGTTCTAGAAAAAAATCTGGAAATTGGGTTTGCTCACATTCGCCGCATGAACCACAAACAAATTCAATGGCAACTGCATGAAATATCGAGTAGAGCATATCATCTTGTCATTCATGCATTTTCAATGGCATTTAGGTCGCAAGTTTAGCTGAACAGAGAGCTTTCGATATCTGACATACATAAGTGACAGAGAAAGAGAGAGAGAGAGTGAGTGAAAGATATAGAAAGAGCGAGACTAAATGTTCGCTAAATACAGATTGCACAGCAAACATTTACTCCTAATTTCCCAAATATCCATTAAAAGTTTAAAGGTCACAATAATTGTCCTGTTGGGAGAAATACAGAGAAAAAGCTAATTTGTCAACGGTTCGCTTTAATTGAATTATTTTGGATGAATTTAGAATTTAAGCCAGCTTTAGAATATAAATTTGATTAATGTATACGTTTAGTACAAAGTATATATATCAGGTGGCTGCCAAATTTGCTCATAATTAAAACTTGTAAAAGCTTGTGCCAATTAAGCTGCAGCGGAGAAAAATAAAGGGTGCCAATTAGCTGAAATTATAGCAAAAACTGCTTAAAGCTGACTGCGCTCTTGCAATCGAAACAAATTTATGTTAAACATCTGCTAAATCTCGTGCTTTGTAAACGGTTTGGCCTTTTCCTTGCCAATTTGAGGCAATTTATTTTGCTTAACTATTCGTTTTTCATACATCTTGATGGGGTCAAAGTCAAGAAGAAACAACTTTAAGTCAGAAAGCCTTTGCGATTTGATTAAAAAGAGGTCCGCTGAAATAGTTAAAGTGAAGCCATATATCATATCTAATAGCAACAATTACTAATACAAAAACGATGTCATTAGCAGCTACGAATTGGGTCATCAGTTGTTTGTTGTTGCTTTGGCTGGCTTTGAGAGGGTTGGTTTTTTGTCGTAGCTGTCTCTTTGCACGCAGCTGAAAAATGGAAAGTCGTATTTTGATTACAACCACAATTAATCAACGTTCTATGCTACTTTCACTTTTCACTTTTTTTTTTTTTCCAATTTAATGGTAATAGTGAAAAATGAACTTAACTTTTTCCTTTATACTTTCAATAAGTCCGTTTTTTTCACAGCCAGAAGCGCGGTATTGTCATTCGCTGAAAAAATTTAACTGCGTGTAATAACATGCAGCTGAAAATTGATTGTTTTACAATAGTATAGATAATGTCTCATATTAAGGGAAAAGAAGATATTAATCTAGCTTCCACGGTAAGCTACACTCCATTATAGATATTACTTACTTGCATACGACTATTAAATAACCTGCACTTCAAACCAGCTACGTATATTGTATTTCAATAAATCACACATTATGCTAGAGTTACATTAAATTATTATTATATTTTTTTTTTATTTAAAACATTAGTTTAATAATTCATTGTTATATAAAGATAGCATAAGATGCTTACTGACAACCAAGGCTAACCAATTTTGAGGATAACTCAAAGGCATTTCGATTGGCTCATCCTTAGCCCAAGCTGAACTATAATTAAATGTTTGTATTACATACGCTTTGCACTTAGAAACTAATAAACTATGTCAAGTATCACTTAGAGAAACTTATGCACCACAAAACTGTTAAAAAGACGCCACAGCCGAAATTTGGCGGAGCGCTGCACACGCGAGGGGCTCGATTCGTGCATGCAACGCTGGCCAAAATTGACAATGGGTATTTAACAAATTGTGATTGGCCTTACCAGCTAGATAATATTCAAATTTACGTGTAAAGAGTGCGGTTGTTGTTGTTGTTGATTTCGTTGCATGGCCGTGGTTGCTCTATTCACAGCCACAGCGCATCGATGGCTTCCTCCATGTCATCCGTTGCCGAGCGAGCTAGTCGCTGCGGTTGCGACTTCCTCATTACGGCCTGCTGTTCGCTGACAACTACCGCCTTTGCCTCCATCTCGCCACCGCTGAGCAGCACCATCAGCAGCACGCTGCTGCGTCTGCTGCGTGACTCCCGCGGCAGCTGCTCCTGCTCCTGCTGCTGGTGCTGCGGCTGCTTGTTTCGCAACTTGCGCAGCCAGTCAGTGGCAGGCCAGATGCATTTGCCGCCCACGCTGCAGCGTCGACGATGGCCCGCCCTTGCTGTGCGTTCCCCCCCTGCTAGCCGTCTGCTACTGCTACTGCTGCTGCTATTGTGTAGTTTATTGTTTGTGACAGTGTCGTTTGGCTGCACCATTTCAACCACACAGATGTCATCAGTAGCGCCAGTTTTGTTGGCGCATCCATCAGCATCAGGCGCTGTTTCAGTCATTGCCGCTGCCGGTGTAGCTGTTGCTGCCGTTGTGGTTGTTGCTGTTGTTGTTGTTGTTATTGTTGTTGACACTGCCCTGCTGCACTCCTGCTACACATTTGTCACTTGCGTCGTCAGACCCAGATCAATGGCCATGCTCTTGCTAACAGCATCCGTATGCACCAGACGCTGTCTGCCATAGCCATCGAGTCGACCGCCGGCACCATCTCTGGCATCGCCATCATGCTGCGACAACGGAAGCCATTTGTCGAGCCAGCGCGGTCGGAAAAGCAGCGTGAACGTGCTGCGGAACTGTCGACTCATCGAGCAGTAGAGTATGAAATTGATGCTCGAATTAATAAGTGCCAAGATGTCCATTAGGTCACCTTAAATGAGACATTAAAATTGAAATGCAATGAGCGCCAGTGCAACTAATGGCTCCACTCTGCCAAGTCAAGGCTGTCATCGCCATTACCACAGTTAAATAACAATGAAAACTTTAATGTTAATCGCCAAATATTTATAGTTATAATACTACGCACATATTAGAATGTATTTTTCTGGTTATTTTAGGCCAACAGTGCGTATGATTGATGTGTATCTCAAATTGTCAAGAGTCATGTATGGAAAATCGAATTGTCTAGTATTTTGCATTGTTTATTGATTAATATTACAGAGAGTTTTATGTTCCGTTGATTAATGTTTTGAAATATAATAAAATGCGAACATAAATAATTGTAGGCTTACAGTGCGTATGATTGATGTGAATATCAAGTTGAACTAGGCGTGTTTCTAATGTTAACAAATCGATAATATTGAATATATTTGTACAGTTTTCTGCGATTCTATTATTTTCCCAGTACTAAGCAACATTATTTCAATATATCAATAATAGACTCATGTCATAAGTAATTCTTTAAATGCCGTCAAAACATATTAACATTTTAAAAGGTCGTCCCCATCACGTTGTGTCCTATATAAATTTCTAACCAATCGCACATTCAGAGTTCATGTTTTTGTCACATTAAAACAATACCTTCATTTGCCATCACGTATAAAAAATCGAAAGCTAAAACAAAAACTAATAGCATGCAATTTGTCCCAGTAATTGACTGAACTTAGTTTCTGCTTCATACTCACTCAGCTTTAGGTAGCACTGCATGAGAAACGCATCGCCGAGCAGCGCGTTCAGCAAACCCATAATACCCTGTGGAAATTCTGTGATAAGGAACAGCAGCAGCACCGCCAGCAGCATTCGCGTGGTGCGATCCGTTTGCTTCTCCTTCTCCAGCAGCTTGCAGCTCTTGGGCTGGCTGGGTGTCACCACTTTGCCATTGACAATAGGCTGCATATCGTTGGCCGCATGGCAGGCGAGTATCTTACGTCGCTTTTTCGCCTCTAGCAAAGCGCCAATTAGCCGCACTGAGAGCACAGTCAGGGCAAAGCAGGGTATCAGCTTGATCAGCACGCTGTATATAAGAAATGTGGCATTGCGCAGGGGGCGATCGTGAAGCGCCAGTTCGCTGTGGTATAATTTATAGACCGTCACATTGCGCTCGCCCAAGTCGGACAGGACTGTGCTTGTTGTTGTTGCTGTTGTGGGCTGATCTGTGAATGGACCTAGCAAATTGACTGCTGTGGTGTTGCTGCTGCCCGGGGCCATTGGCCAGGCCATGTCCGGTGTGGTGCTGGACAGCACCTGCATCGTGATGTGCTCCTCGTTGTTGTAGTCCAAAATATATTGACTTAAAGGCACCGACTTAATCGTCTTGCCATCGGCATCCAGTGTCTCCATAAACTTGGCTATAGCGCTGACCAGGTAAAGCCACGGCGACACCACCAGCACACAAACCACATAAGCTGTGGCAATGGTTATCGTTGTGGTCCGCATGCCGCACCAGATGCGATTGCGCTGCGGATAGCTGACGGCTATGTAGCGCCAGACGGCCAGCGTAACTGTTAGCCAAATTGAGATGGTGTGCAGAACCTGTGCGAAAATCGAGTGAAACTTGATAAAGCAGGCCCAGCTGTAGCTGAGCTGCTGTTCCCGCGGCAAACGCGCGCTGAGTATGTAATCGTGCACCGTATAGGGTATATACTCCAGCATGACCGCCAGATCGGCCACCGCCAGGCCCGTGAGTATCGCATTTGTGGGTGAACGCATCTCCCGACGTGTCAGCACGATGATATTCAGTGTGTTGGCCAATGTGCCCAAAATGCAGACGATGAGCGAAAAGTAGCCATGAATATATTTATAGCTGTCGAGGAATTGGAAGAATTTGTAATACTTAATATAAAAAAATTTAATCAAAACTAAAAGGTAAGAAATTAATCGAACTGCGTGTACATTAGGCAATTAAATGTGTAATTACTTGTATCCAGTTTATGGGGGCCTATGCCTAATAATCAAATAATTATTAAGCATACGCACCGTATAACCAGCTCCATAACAATATTTAACAGCAATTACGCAGGTGATTTCCTTGTGTAAACCTCAGTTCTCACATGGGCAAGCAAATTATTATGTAAATTGCATTTAAAAGAAACAAAAAAAAGTAATTAATATGCTGATACAGTTCGCATGCCGCATGCCGCATGCCGCATGGCAAACGCCCATCGAAAGCGTCCAATCAACTTACTTTGTGTGAAAATCATCGACGCTGGCGCCGCAATAATGCGGCTGCGACACGTTCGTGACCATGTTGTCAATTTTGGTCGGCTGATCGTCCGGCTGGTGGCTGTTCGCTTGATTACGCCCGTGGTCTGGACTGCCCAGAAGCCGCCTCCACTCCTGTTACAACTCGTCCTGGCGCTCAAGCTCCGTGTTGTGTGGTTTTGTGGCACTGGCTGTTTCGTTGTGCTTCAGCTGTGCGCTGTCAACATGCCACGACCCAAACTCTGCCTCCTCATTAATATTACTTTTTGTCTCTCTTCGATTTTCCAATATTTAAATTGGTCGCTTTGTCCAGTTGCTGTAGCTGAAATTAAATAAGCCAAATATTTGTACAACATTCGCGCACTGCGTTTGGCAATAAATTATGGCCGCGCCTTTCGTGTGGACAGCCAAAAATATTTGCGTGTTGCCATTTTGTTTTGTTCTTACAGCAACAATTTTCATGTAACATGCAAATGCAAAATGGAATATAACGTGTCTGTATCTCGAGTTCAAGTTCAAGGGAATAAAGAAAATGTAGTACAAAAATTTCCATGGCTCACAATATATAACATTAGCAAGATAATTTTAATAGTTAGGTTAAATTATAAATGAAAGTCAAATTTTTAGTTGCATTTACCACAATTAAAAGGAACTTCGGTTATATGGTACTTAACTAAAAGAAAGCCTAGATAAGCATCGGAGCTAACTAGGCAAATCCTTGACACTTTCTGATTAACTGCCTTTATTTCCGTGTTCTATTCCAAATGAGCCTAATTTCCTATGAAGGTTTGCTATGCAAATTTCTATAATATATAAATCCCACAAGTTCATGATTTACTTGAAGCCCTGAATAACTAAAGCCCAGCTTGTAGCAAGTTTTTATAATAGGCAAAAATTTACTCGTCCAGCACAGTTTGGGTTAAGTAATTGGGCTAAAGACTGTTTCTGGCACCTGTAAAAATACTTTAAGCAAGTGGTAGCAGCAGAGGAATCTGCAAGGGCAATCAATATTACGCATACGCCCCCAGCGCAGATACTCAGAGTTGAATTGACAGAGTTTTTGGGCCAGAAAAAAGGGCAGTAACAAGTCATTTGTCTTCACATTACAAAAGCCAAGCAATTCATGCAGCTGGCTCGAACAAAGCAAACGATTTTGATATCCATTCTCCAATGTCCATTGCCACATACACACACACGCACACACACATGCACACTGCGTATACGCAATGCCATTGGAGAGAAACAAAATATAATTGCAGGGCTGCAGTTGGTTGCATGCCACACTTGGCTTTTGCACTTTGTCAAGCACATTTGGCTTTTGGTGAACTTTATAGCTGCAGCTGCAATTATAACTATGGCTCCTATCTGACCCAAGTAACTTGCTACATTTAATGCAAACTTTTTGCCTCTCTCGAATTTATGACAAATTTTGTCACATACATGTGGCAATATTTATAAGCTTTTGTTAACAGATTTTGTATTTATCAGCTTTCCCACTCACCCGCTGTTTAGCTGCCTGGCAAAGTCTAAGTGTGGCCCGCATCCAAGCAAAATTGACACAAGAGTAGACACATAATCCACTGGCACATCTGCGGCTAATGAGCAGCACACAAGACTGCGTATCAGGCCGGTTTATGCAGCAACAATAACAAACGGCGACGTGCCCCAAAGCAACTGCAAGCGAATTGGCAACAGCTGCTGGCAGACTTGGTAATTAAAATTGGCCCAAACTGAAGCTCAGGGCTGATTATGTAAGCGCCATTATTTGGGGGCCGCATTATTAATGTGGGCAGTGCTAATGGCCTCAACGGCTTCATTAGATCATTTAAATAGACGTTGCTGAAGCATTAAATGCCAAGTGTTTGCCATGTTTCATTTTAGGCCATGAAGTCTGCCACTGTCAGCGGCAGCAACAAGTTGTTCGATGGTTGGGCATTACGTGACTTGACTCAATTTCAGCGCTTTCCGGTCACTCCAAAACTTGACAGTCGCCGCCGTCCACAGGTCCCTCAGCCAGAAGAAGATGCTAATGTACCCAGCTGCCAAACGCAAGCTCTCGGACGTTAATGTGCGGCATACGGTGCGTATACGTTGTTTTTTTTTTATTTTTATATATTTATTTGGAAGCAGCAGACCGAGGCCTGACTGAATGAGTGACTGGTGGGCTCCAGAGCTGTTGTACCCTGGGTGTGGTTGCCAAGTAATTTAAGCTATTTGTTTATTACTGTTTCGCCCAGCTCCAAGAGGACCTACACAGAATTCAATTAAGTGTGGCCCAGCCACATGCTGTGCTTTAAATTAGATGTTTATTTAGAGTGCATGTTTTCTATTTTCTTCCTATTTTTTTTTATAGTGGTCGTATATCGAAGGCGTGGCCCTGCTGTGTGCATTTAGATGAGCCACTTTACTGGTCAGGAGCACAGCTCCAGTACTTGTGAGGTACAAGGGCTGCTCTGATGACTGGTAGTCCTGCGATTACTGTAATTGGCAGTGCTTCGAGCCTATTGAAACTACTTGAAGACGGTTGAAGCCATTATTTTGACAGCTGTCCGTCAAAGCCAAGTTCACTTGTGCAGCCGCAAATTAATTGAAATCCCTAAAATGCAACAACAATACCATACTTGAAAACATCAAACGCTTCTGGGCATTAGCTCAATACAGTTTTTAAGTGTTAACAGCATTTGGCTTTTGCTTGGCATTCGCCAAAAAGTAATCGAAAATTAAGTCCCAAGCATGGCAACAATACTGTTGTAAATTGAAACCTGAAACTTGTGGTGAAAACTTTGAAAGTATGACAATGTAAAAGTGTCAAAACTAACAATACAATACAAGCAAAAACGTTTCAAACGAGAATGTATGAAACGAAACTACCCTATAACCACTTCTGAACACATATTCACACTCACAACTGCTGCAGCTTTGTGAAGCAAAGGGTGAGGGGAGCAAATATCTATAGTAAAATTGTTCAACACGAATGCACATTGCAAGAACTTCTTTTTGTAACCCATTTTCAATGGGCACAGGGTATGTGTATGCCCAAGCAAACGTAAGATTGAAAATGGTTGAAACAAAAAATGCAAGTAGAAAGCCAACAAAATGACCGAAACACCAACAAGGCAAAGCAATTAGGCAAAGTACAACTAAAAGCAAACATTTCTACAAAACAAAATTGAAAAAAAAATTAATCAAAAGTTTTTAATCAGACGCTGCAATTGACAGCGAGCAACAACTAAACAACAAATCAATGAAAAATGTTGTCAGAAAGCCAAAAAATGCTTTAATAATTCGCCAAGTCACATTTGGTTTATTTTCTTCGAATTTTTGGCACGCTGCACTGGGCAGTTATTTCCGCGATTTCCGTTCGCTTTAATGTTGATAATTTCGTTTGAACATTGCGCATACGCAGTGTGGGACTCAGCACCTGTTCAATTATTAACGCTGATTTACCAGTTTATGCCCTTGGCACATTTACTTCCGCTTGTTGCCTTTGATAATTTTCTTGCGGCTTCTTTTACTTCTGTACTTCCGCTGCTCGTAACGGCTCACCGGTCAATGCTGGACTTATGCCAACCTAAGTAGACCCTCGAATGGGAAACATTTATGAGAATTTTTTTAGAGTATCGCATTAAACATGTGTGTGCACGGGCTGAGACCCAGTGAATCGCACACGCGTGCGTCTCGAACTGTAAAACCGGATTTCTTTCAATCTGAGCACATATACACACACATACCTAAGCATTATGGACACGTGGTAGTTGTTACTTTGTATTCCTGAGAATGCGTACTTGGAAGCAGCTGTATATAAGACGACTTGACTTGACTTGCTAGCCGGTCAATTTATGCTACAGCGAACCCTACTTACAACATCTGACTGAGACGCCTCAAGGGTTTCAGTCGCTTTTTGTGCAAAACTTAGTTTGCCCCGGCCAACTGCTCGTTAGACGCACTCCAAGTTCGTTGGGCGCAGCAAAAATCACAGTCAAGGTTCAAGAAATAAAAGCACAGCACTAAAATATGACAATGCGTATGAATGTTATAATTATGTCAGCCTGCGACCCTTTAGACAATGATTAAATGCTGAAAAGGGTTTTGTTTAAGAAACAGTCAGGGCATTCGCGGATATGCTTTAAATATGCCCTGCAGCTTAATATGCCAAACTCGTGTATACATTGCATAATATTTATTACTCATGCTAAGCCACTTAACGGATTTAAAACCTGGCTTGGGTTGAGGAGTTCTCAGGCAAATATTTGCTGAGGTAAAGCGGCGTGAAAGCACACACGTGCACACACATGACAGCATTTTATAATTAAGCATTCAGAAAATGTCAGCGAAAGCAATGTCAACAAACAAAAACAAAAAAAAAAAATTAGGAAAAACAGGCGAATGTGCCAGCGCGTGAGACAGTGGGATAAAAAGTTCGGGTGGTCATAAACAAACAGCCAGATAAAGAGTGGCATAGCGGAACAGTTGGGGCATATATGGGCGACCGCAACACAGGGGACAAGCTGCACATTTCATTGCCAAAAAACAAAGCCCACTTGACAGGGACACGGCACAAAGCTGCGTCCTTTGATGTTGTTGTTGTTGGTTTTTGGTCGCTTAGGTCAAGGTAACATCCGTCCACAAGCCGAGCGTCACTCGAGTTGCATTTCCAGCAAATAGATTGCATAAATGACAGGCACAATTCAAATAGCCTTTTGTTTCAATTATCCGGGCGTGTTTTGTTCTAGCTGCAACTTTGGTCATTTGAGCTTAATTAAAATGGACGCTGACAAAATTGTTGTGCATGCAAATTTATAAATATTTCATTTAATTCAACACAACAATGTCAAGGCAATAGCTGCGGCTTTTGCATGAGAGATTACAACATTTTTTTTGGAATATTAAATGTTCAACTATTTTTTGGGCCACTTAAACGCACGTACTAAAACCTGTTAAGCTTTGATCGAAATAAAACCGCAGCAACAAGTGTCAACTGAATTCAATGGGGAGTCACAAAATATATATTTGGCTCGCTCGCTTTTTTAATTTGCATTCCCTCTGGCCATAATAATATAATCTTATCTGCGGCTGGTTTATTGTTTATGAATTCCTTTATTATATGCGCCCCTATTTTTTTATTGTACTTATTCTGTTTTTGCTTTTGGCAGTTGCCAGTTGATTAACTGCATTCACTTGTTAGTCTATAAAATATCAATAAAACAACAATAAAACTATTGACGTTCCAATAAATACAATTTGTTTCGCCTTTTTGTTATGAACTGGCCACGAAAATACAAACATTTATGTCAGTTTTTTTTTTGCCTCGTATTGAGTTAA